AAAGTTTAAAAGTAAAATTGCTACACTCAAATTATGGATTTATATTCTGAATAAATTATGAACCTAGATCCTGGCCGTAGTCGGTTTCAAAATTTAGAACTACACATGTGCTAAACTGAATTAAGGGAAAAATTGCAGTGACTGAAGATGGCTTTGTCATGTCTAATTTAAGTTCAGAGATAACATATATTAGGCTATTTCTGACCTCTGGAAAAACTAAGTGATTCTCTGGAAAAACTCTAGAAAGAATAGAAATCTTGTTAACTTTTGAGGAGGTTGCAAACTGAGAATCAGAAGCTCTAGTTCCTTGGTCTTCCACAGTAACAACTATTTGCACCAATTTCTCTTGAGTCTTAGATAAAATTGACTATGTTTATTTACCTTAAAGGAGGAGTCTGTGAAACAGGAAAATGGATATGAAGACTAGAGCCATGTTTAAAAGGTGCTGTAAAAATTATATGTCAATAAAGTTGATTAAAAATAATATTGATGACCAGGTTCATTCCTAGAGATGAGGACTTTGGTCATCTGTTCTTTACCTTCAATTTTTTAAAAAAATCTGCAAGTGATTCTGATTTACAGTGAAGTTTGGAAACAGCCACAGAAATGTGTGTGCTACTCATCTCTGAGAAAGCAATTCTAAAGGATGTTTGATTTTAAGCAGAGCTTTGAAAACTTTTTAAATTGTTTAAATGCTTTTATTTTTTAAAAAGATCACAGAACCTTGAAAAAGTAGTTACTGGAAATGTGGTCTGATTCCTCCTGGCCAGACTTATTCACTGAATAAGGATTTGTTTCTAAAAAACCAGAGAATCATTTAGTCTTTAGTATGGCTGAGAAACCATGGGACTTACCATGCTTTCCCAGGAGGGACAGAACTTTCTGACAAAGACCTTATAATTTGTCAACTATATAATAAAGACATTGAACTAAAATTATTTCTAGGAATTTTGTTTTTAATCTTCAAACATAATTCTTTTATTCTCGTCTCATTCTAAATTGCTTTACTGTGAATTTTCTGCATCAATATATAAGATTATTAAAATGTACAACTAATATTGTGTTAATATATCATGTAGAAGTTGTAACCTCCTATTATTTGAAGTCCAACACTGACTTTGGATCTTGACCCTCATATGTGTAAAAAAGTTGATAAAGAGAGTAGTATTTTTCTCACCTCCAGTGAGAAACAACTATCCAAAGTGCTCTGAGCATTTCTTCTTAATTTGCTTTCGCAATTAAGATGAAAAAACGCTGAGGATAAGAGGCATCTCCTTTTATTTAATATCTCATAAGGTTAAACATATATATTTGAGAACTAAATATAGCTAACTTAGTGTGTCTAAAAAAATTTTTTTTAACGCCTACAGCACCTGGTATTCCTAAGTGGTCTCCCATTCAAGTACTAACCAGGCCTGACCCTACTTAGCTTCTGAGATCAGAAGAGATCGGGCATGTTCAGGGTGTCATGGCTGTAGACCAGTGTGCCTAAAAATTTTGCTCAGATGTACCCCCTTGGTGAGGCAAAGTTGTCACTTCTAAATGAATCTCTACAAAGATTCACCTCTTCAACATTTACAAAGCGCTTCTGTCAAGCGAGGCATTTTGTTTTGCACTATGATGTTAACAGTAAGAATTACGACATTCCTACTAAAAGTATCTCCCTATTTGCTAAATGGGATGCTGCCCAATTCATGAAATAGCTCAAAAAAGCCAATTAGATCTTCGAATATACTCAGTTGAGTTTTTGTTCTTTAACGCATCACGCAAAGGCTTTCAACAATTCAGTTATCTACATTTGCCTTATAGTGTATGTCAAAAGCTCAAAAATGCTTAAATTCTTTCACTAAGAATTACTGTATTTGGAAATCAACTTAAGTAGAAGAATTATAATCTTTAAAACATCATGATTAATTTGGTTTAAAAAACAATTATTACTGGATATAGCAGAATGAATGTCTTTTCCTTCCTTTCCATAAATAGCCCAAGTTCTAGAAACCCCATACAGCATATTAAATAAGACTGTTCTTTCCTAGAGAGCACCCATTGCCATTGGTTAAATTTTCTTACTGTAGATTCACTCTCATTTATCAGGCTACAGTACAATAAAGACTAAAATTAAAAAAAAAAAAAAAAAGACATTCTTAGTTTTATGAAGTCATAAATTGTCAGCTTAACAATGGGGAGCCTGGCAAAGGAAAACATGGGAATGGAGAATATTATTGATTCATAAAACAATTATGTGAAAAAGGCTGTGATTTCAAATTCACAAATACATACAAAATATATATTAAATCACTACCACATACTCCCATTAACAGTAACTTACCTCAAGCTGATGCAGTAGAGCTTTTCCTTTTTTATTTATTTCTACCATCAATGTAAATATAGCAACTTTAATATCCTGTTCCACTTGCTTTTGATTTTGATTTACTTCAATTATCCTGAAAATTAAACAAAAGGGGGAAAAAACTCTAAAATCTACGGCAGATGATTTGTTTTATAATCTTCTTTAAGGTCTAAATTAGGCCAAATGTTTTTGGCTCTTAAAAGCTCAGCTATTTCTAAGGATCCTTCAGTTTAAATTGACTTTCTTGAAGACAGCAGAAATACAATTCTTCTGAAAGACATGGTACTGAATTCAACCCTAAAATCAAAATGCATAAAATTACAAGAGAATGAACACATTTTAAGAAAATACAGTTTTGAAAGTTTATGATGACACCCAGAAAAATCAATGCTTATTCTAAAAGGATGGACAAAAAGATGTATAAGCAAGATGAAGAAAACCACAAATCTGAACAAGTTCTACTGTATTCATTGCAATTAAGAAGTAGAAGGGGTAAATGTGTCACTCTTAGTCATCTGAATCACTGGTGATCATTTTATCTGAATAGAAGCAAGAAGACAACAACAGTAGTTTGCTATTTTTAATAACATTAACTTTAAGCAGCCAAATAACTACTTTATGTTTCATCAACCACCAAATATGTTTTTTCCTTTGATAAGAGAAAATGGGAATGCTGTTTTCATGGAGATAGAGATGGATATGTGATACATACTATCACATACCAGAATACCTTACAGAAGCAGAGAACCACCAAACATTAGGAGAGAAACAAGCTTTTCTTCTGTCTGCTTTTCCCCATTTACACTCCAAAACTTAAGACCAAAGGGCAGAGATTTTATTTTCTTTTGGAAATTCTTTAAAATAACTATAACTATTTGACATCAGTATTGGCTATAGGATCAAGTAAACCAGGTAGGTGTGAGAAGCAAACCACCTTAAAAAAAAAACTAATTTAAATCTTCATGGTGGTAGAACAGAATGAAAAAAGGGACAAGCAGTGCCATGTTTGCACATGCATAAAAATGAACTAAACTGCAAAGTCATTCAGCCATTAAATTTAATCCATCTATAATCGGGTAGGCAACAAAGATTGGAGAAATTAACACCAATTCCAAAGATTCTTTAATTTTTACCACAATTCAAAACCCCAAATCTTTTCATACAATAATGTATTACTTTGTAAAAACAGCATAAACCACTAACAGAAAGGTGAAAAAAAAATCACATTTGGAGAATTCACACTATCTAATTTTAAGACTTATTACACAAAGCTACAGTCATGAAGTAGGGTATTGGCAAAAAAGAAACACAATGGAACAAAATAGAGCCCAGAAATAACCTCACACACATATGGTCAACGGATTTTCTACAAAGGTGCCAAGGCAATTCAATAGCAACAAGCTAGTCTTTTCAACAAATGGTGCTGGAACAAACGGACATCAATATTTAAAAAAAAAAAAAAAAAAAAGAAAAAAGAAAAGAAAACGTTGGCCCATAGCTCATACTACATACATAGCGAAAAAGTAAGGAAAAAGTCAAAAGGGCAAATTTCATCAATGGTAGCTCTTTCACATATAATTGGTAATTTTACAATTGCTACCATTTGTCACTAGATGTTATAAATTATCAATAACTTCCACATAAATGAGCTGCTGCTAAATGTAGATTACCATGACAATAGTTTTGAAATTTTATGACTGAAAAGATGCTTTCCAACCCTAAGTTTCTGGAAAAGTATCAAATATGTGTTACTAGAGCCATCTGACAGCTTACTCAGATCTGCTTCACCATGAGTTAAGTAAAATGTTCTGAATATACTTAACACATTATATTACAGACGATTTATTGTAATACCATAAATGTAAATTTACCTGTTTTGGATCTGATTTCCTGTGAATTTTATGTATTTTGTTTTTTCCATCAGTTTGGTGATTAGTGTATCTATGATCACTTTCTGATTCTGAAAAGCTTCTTCTATAAATTGATATCTGAAAAAATAAGTAAATAGTCAATTATCTGTCTAAAATGAGGAAAAGCCCAATGCAAAGAAATAAAAGAAAACTAAGAGAGTATAAAGAATACAAAAAATAATCAATTAAAAATACCAAATATATCCCTAGAAGATAAGTTGTTTTCCCCTCCTCTCAAAATTATCCCTTAAGAAAGAAGGAGTCCTAAACAACAAAAAGAAAAAGAGGGAATCTTTACAGATATTACTCATGGACACTCTTTAAATTATTTTGAAAATTTGGGAAAGATACACATTCATCATCATAGTTTTAGAGGCTTACAGAGCTCACTTGGAGGACCTGCCAAAAAGTAATTATAGATATTTAAGCAGATTTATTATTTTACAATTTTATAATTATGAAAGTGTGACATCATGAACATTTTGAAGATTCATTTTAAACAATAGGTAGTTGTTTTGTAGGAGTCACAAATATTTGCCTTCAGGATAAACGGGGAATGAGGAGTATGGGAGGGGGGAAGCAAAACTCCTGATGTTCTCCCTTGCATGACATAAAAGCTTCAGGCAACAATAAAATACAGCACTTTAAAATATTTAACTTGGAAGTGAAGGTAACCCATAACACACTATGTAAGATGACTCAAGAGTAGCTCTAGAGAAATAGACAATGATGCACAAGATAAATTATGAAGTTTCATTGTTTTTCATAAAACACATGAAATATAATGTTTGACATAATATAACTTAACAGTAATTAAATAAGTATTATAAACAGGTTTGCCAGAGTTAGAAAAAAAGGGAGAGGGGAAAGCACACAGATACTTCTATTGGATCCCCTTTATACATAATCATATTTGTAAATAATGACATTTTAAATTCCTCCTTAGGTAACTCAAGTTTTATATCCAAAACTTTTGTCATTACTACACTGTTTGGGATCCTAGTATAATATTAAATGAAATGGTCAAAATGGCCATCTTTATCTTGTCCCTAAACTCAATGTAAAAACTTTCAATACTCCATTATGATGTTTTCCAGTACTTCTCACAGATAACCTTTATTAGGTTTAGAAAATTTCCTTTTATTCCTAGTTTACTAAGATTTTACATCATAGGTGCATATTTTTAATGTTTCTTCCACCACTACTGAGATGGTCATATAATTATCCCTTTTATTCTTTAAAGATGATGAATTACATAAATGAAAATGATATTCAGATGTTAAATGAACTTTGTATTCCTAATATAAGGTCAACTTGGTTGTAATTATATTGTCCAAAAATCACAATACTGCTAGATTTCTTTTCCTAACTTATTTCTTAGTACTTTTAGGTTCATTTCATGGATGAGATTGTAATTTTATTTTTATTCCTCATAAAATAAGTTGGAGAGAGTTTATTCTTTTGCCATTCTCTGGACAAGGCTGTATTAAAAGGGTTATTTTTACCTCATCTATTTCATAGATTAATCAGTGAAGTCATCTGGGTTTGTCATTTTCTTTGTGGGGATATTACGAATTATGAATTTACATGAAATTAAGGGTACTTTGATTTTCTATTTTATCTTGGACCAGTTAAGTTGTATTTTCTAAGAATTAACTCATTTCATGTTAAGATTTTCAAATCTATTGACAGATATCCTTTTTATATTTTTAAATACCTTTAGAAAATGTGGTGATGTGCCCTTTTCTTAC